GCCAAGCACCTTGGCCGTGCCTTGTTGAGGAAGAGAGTCCTCAGGCTGTCTGGCTTTGCGTGAGAGGTTCTGGCCCTTCTTGTGGATCTCCTCCTTTGAGGAGGAAGGGTCAGGTGGGGCAGAGTCACGTTTTGTCTAAGTCTCTGGGTAGCAGGTGTTTGGAAAAAATAAAAATTTGTTTGATTTCCTAATTCTCCCAAAGTATGTAGAAGGATAAAGTACTTTCTGAATGAAGCTCTTTAGGAGGACACTTTTTTTAAGTGATTTGTGTTTTCACTCTTAAGTATATAAAAAATGAAAGTGGTAAGACTGTAATAGAGTACTGTAATCATCTAGTAGCTTAGAAAGAGGGTGGAAATAGAGATCGGTTTTTTTACTTCACTTCCCCAACAGCCCCCATTTTCTAAGATGTCATTATCCTTATCTCCCTTGCATGCCTCTGCTGCTTGTGAACTCCCAAAGCAACATACGCAGCAGAAGAAAATTGGTGTGGTTTTTTTTTTTTTGAGAATTTCATCATTTCACAAAGTCCCTGTATTAGAGCAGTGACAGTGGCTAATCAGCGTCACTCTTTTGCCTTGGCAGAGCTGTAGACAGCAATGAAGGCATTCGAGGTGGTTATAGGCTTAGGGAAACGGCCTTGCACTAGTTCACCTTCTTCGTGGAAGAAGGTAGGGTTCTTTGTAACCACAGAAACCGTCCTTTTTTTTCACAAAACACATGAATTTAAGTTTGCTGTAAAAACCGGTGGCTTTGGTTTTCCCCCTTCCCGCTCTGGCCTCCCCCCTGGTTGTCTAGAAAAAGCTTTTTGGCTATCCCTGGTGAGTGAGTGATTGGATTCTGCAGTGGCTGACATCTTTGCTCTGGTTCTCTGTAGTTCTTGTCAGCTTTTTGGAGAGCTGTCAGCTTGAGATCTGGGCTGTTTGGAACATAGCTGTGGAATAGTTTCAGGTATTTCATTTGGTTTCGACTTTTCCTGCGAGTTGGCGGTTTTACACCTGCGTGGGGAAGATACAAAGATCTGCAGTGTACACAGTAGAAGAAAAGCGGCTAACTGCACCATATCTTACAGATAAACTCTGCTGACATACAGTTCTGTCAAAAGTATAGCGTCAACTGAAAAAAGTGCATCTATTTTTCTCTTTGTTAATGGTATTTACTTCTAGCAATAGCAACTGAATGAGTTTTTTAATGTTGTATTCCTAAAAGGCATTTTTATCACCTGCCAGCTAACTGAATTCAGAATATTTGCTATTTCTTGAGGTAGAGAATTTAGTTACCAAAAAAAAAGTTAAATATCGGATTGACCAATTAGCAAAGTTAATGTTGTCAAGAAGTTTATGTACTTGTAGTATATGTTGATTGATCAGTTCTTCAGGCATTAGTACAAACATGGTGTCTTCTCACTTTTTTAGCTTTTTCGTGTGGATTTAAGGTTTTTCCAGGTTACAGTGTGCTTTGTTTCTACTCTTATACTTGCTTGATAATAATAAAGGACTAAATACCGTAGCCGTTGGCCATCATGTCAGTGTGTAAGCTGTTTGTATTATATCATCTTCCCGTATTGGACTCTCTCGGTATAGGTCATCTTAACTTTTTACTTCTGGGTTCTGTAAATATGGTTACCAGAGCAATCAATCATCTGTTAGCCTGTCTTGAAATCAGCAGCCATCCTTTCTAATGATGAAATGGCATGTGCATCAGTCCAGAGCAAGAAACAGTAAGTCTGTGTTTGGATGTGCAATAAATAAACGCCCTGGAGCAGGAGGTTGAAACTTTCCTACTGTAACCTTCGACAGCACAGGCGTGTTGGGTTTACTCTTTTTTTTTTTGAGATTTAAACACAGGCTTTGATGTTTAAGGTGATTTAAAATCTGTTGGACTTTTGGACTTTATTTGTTAATTCTTGAGGTATTTTGGATTCTTTTCTGACTTCAGTATTTCCTTGTCTCTTCTTAGGACCCCAGCTGAATGCACAACTAGAAGGCTGGCTTTCTCAAGTACAGTCCACAAAGAGACCTGCTAGAGCCATTATTGCACCGTAAGTTTAAAATCTGTTTTTAGTGTATATATAATACTTGATTAGTTAAATGTTTCTTTATTTTGAGTGATTTTGAAAACTGATGAAAGCTAGTGTTTAGCTGAAAGGAGCATCATGTAGTTTCTAAATAAGTATGTCGGATATGGCATAGAATGGAAGAAGTCTGTGCATATTTTTGTATATGATTAGTTTCCTTTTGCGGATGGACTGAAGACACAACGTCCACTTGTGATCCAGTGAGACAGATAAGTGTATTAATGGAGTGGTAGTCTAAGGTGACAGGTCTTTCAATACACTTCTAGTGTAGAACAGCTACACATACTTAAAAAAAAAAAAAAAAAAGACAAAACAACAAAACACACAAAACTCCAGCAACCCTCCCAAATCAAAATTTAGCAAAGCTTTAAACAAAAAGTAATGAAACACTATTCAGCTGTCCAGAATGGTTTACTTTTGTAATTTTAGTTTGGGTGTTTGTTTTTTTTTTTTTGTGTACAGGAGAAGTAGAGATCATCTAAACTATTCAGGTAGAATTCAATTTCCTAAAGAAAGTTGAGACATATAATAAGAAAAGTATGTTGGTCATTCCAATTTGTTATGAGTTGGAAGGAAACACCTTGGAAGAAGCACCTTAAATATAATGCTTTTCCTGGGCTAATGTGGCACTGACATAATGATTGAAGTATTCCATAATAGCATTGAATATGTAGAAGAAGTTGTCCCAAATCTGCCTTAGTCTTTCTCACAGGAATGTCGGGAAAGAGGCCTTTCCGCTGTGGATTAGGTAACCTGTGTTCTTTTTCCAGAACCGCTGGAGGTCTTCCTGTGGTCTCGCCAAATTGTTTCACTAACCGTGCCTTTGTTTTCCCACCTGCAAAGTGGGATATGGCTGATAATATTTTTGTGAAAGACTCTGAAGAAGCCTGTAGCAGAGGGAGCCTTTCGGAAGGCGGTGCTGACCTTGTCAAATAACATACCTTCCCAGTTCACGAGGTGTCAGTCTCCCGGTTACCCACTGGCTATATATGTTAGTCCCTTTCTGAGCTCTTGAGAACAAGTGGGGTAAGTCACGATGACGTAAAACCCCAGGGTAATTTTGAGGATAACTTGCTCCAGGTACCACTCTGTGGATGAATATATATGCGTGCAAGCATACATACATATAAATGAATATTAACACCCTCCAGTGCTGTCAGTGGGGAATTTTGTATCTTCAAACGTCCTGTACGTCCCAGGACTTGCAGCACATGGTATCATGAGGTTCAACAAGGCCAAGTGCAAGGTCCTACACCTGGGTCGGGGTAATCCCCGGTACCAATACAGGCTGGGAGATGAAAGGATCAAGAGCGGCTCTGCTGAGAGGGACTTGGGGGTACTGGTGGACGAGGGGCTGGACATGAGCCGGCAATGTGAGCTGGCAGCCCAGAGGGCCAACCGTGTCCTGGGCTGCATCAAGAGAAGCGTGGCCAGCAGGTCGAGAGAGGTGATTCTGCCCCTCTACTCTGCTCTGGTGAGACCTCACCTGGAGTACTGCGTTCAGCTCTGGAGCCCTCAGCACAAGAAGGACATGGAACTGTTGGAGCGGGTCCAAAGGAGGGCTACAAAAATGATCCGAGGGCTGGAGCACCTCTCCTACGAGGACAGGCTGAGAGAGTTGGGCTTGTTCAGCCTGGAGAAGAGAAGGCTGCGGGGAGACCTGATTGCAGCCGTTCAGTACTTAAAGGGAGCCTATAGGAAAGATGGGGACAATCTTTTTAATAGAG